CTAGTTCAATTGAAGATTGCATAACTGTTTTCTAGATTGTAGTGACATAATTACGTAAGGGTAAATATTTTTAGTTGCATTTGAAAAAGGAAAGGCAACTTATTATTTACTGTTTTGCCCTAAGTAACTGAACTTTAGGCCAGTTCTGACACTAACGTATCGCGATGGTGCCACTTCTAGCCAGTTTATCAGCCAAAGCGACTGGAATAGAATTTAGACATTTCGCTGTTAGCTTAGAGCGTAACGTAAGCGAGATTTCATAGAGCCAGTGGATAACTGTAGAAGAGAGGTCCCACCCCTTACCTAGTGTTCCCTGTAACTGTATACAGACATTGAAGCCTCTTCCCATCTAAAATAAAGCTAAAGTATTTGGCCCTGTCAGTAAGCGCAAAACGAATGTCTTTGATCGAGGGTGGAGTAGCCTGACACACCTGGTACCTCCTGGTGCATGGATTTACAGCAAGTCCGCAGTCTGCAGACCGTTTATTCATCAGGTTCAATCACATATAGGAAATCAAACATCTACACCACCTTGTGATGATCACGAGGAATCCTGGTCCTAATTTGTTAACCAACCAGCCTTTCCAGGGTTTTAAGAAAAAACGAGGAGAGGCTGTTCGATATGAAATCCTTGGGCTTTTTCTAGCCTTCGGTATAAACGTCAACCTGACCATTCTCCAAACACTGGCGAAAACTGGAACCGGTTAGCTTGTTATGTAAAATTTAATATGTGTGCGATAGTATCGTACCGCGTGGACGTGACCATAAGATTAAAGGCGTTAAAACAAAAATTCAACGTGACGTAGTTTTTCATATAAAAAATCATAACCTTGCAACCTCTTCTCAATGAAATTTGATCTCTTAGTTCTGATTATGAAAAACCAATCTCAGTAAATAGCACGGGACCAAAAATAACTGCCATCTCCAACTTATTTAATTTATAATTTATTTATAATTTTTTATTTCGTCCATATGAGTTAATAATTATTATTATTATAATCAACGTTTAATTTTTAAGTTATCTGATAAACATTGTAAGATAAGGATATTGATGAAGATGGATATGGAGAAGAAGATAAGGATGATGAAAATTAAAGTGGAAGAGTGAAATAGCATCAAGCAACGTAAAAAGTAAACACTGGGTTATACATAATTCTTATCGGCGGAATAAAAAATATCTCTCATCTAATAACTATTATGGAGCAACATTTTAGCGATAAAACTTATAACTGTTATGCCCTTAAAATTAGATTTTACAAAGCGAAAGGAAATTATTAAGTTCGTTTTTAATATTTTTGGGCTAGTTTTGGGCAAATGAGCGTAAGTACGAAATGCTCTCACAAAAGTGAAAGCAACCTTTTTCGTGGCCGAAACTAAACGTCAAATAGCACAAAATTGCAAATTTTAATAACGTTAAATTAATGGTTCATTTGATGTTTTTTCACTTATAAATAAACAAAAAACATGTACATATTTATTGGCTAAAATTTGAATGCTTAAAATTCTTCCTCTCTTTCTGACAGTTTGACAGTTTTCACAAACTCGCTCGAATAATAAAGAGAAATAAGCAAAATAATTCCACTCACCTGTTTCTGCGCGCCCTTCCTCGTGGGGTATCTCGTTGTTGAGCAAATGTTCATCATCAGCCTCTGCCGAACCATCCATGCTATCCTTCGCTGCTGCCGCCTCCGTCGGTTCATGTTGCATATCCGCATAATCCACATGATTGCGGTAGAATTTCAGATGCTGCGTTATATTTACATCGTGCACATCAAGTGCACCATTAAGGTAGGTGAAAACATTCTTCTGAAAGCAACTAAAGGTAGGCTGTTGATAACAATCGCGTATAATGTCATCCCACAATTCGTTGCCGGTTGAGAAACGTTTTACAAAACGCAAGAAAATTGAATCACCGCCATTAGCAGTGCGACCATTGTCTCTGTCGAGATCGCTGGCACTACCGTGGCTGTGATTGCTCCAACTGAAGCTGCTGTTGTTTGTCGCATCGAACTCTTGCCAATTGGTTGCCATAATTGCACTCGCTGTGCTGTTATGTTCGCTGAAAGACGAGTTGCGGTCATTGCTCGACTGCTGCATTGGCGTCGTACTTTCATACATGTCTGCCATTTCTACGGGCGTCACATATTCAGTTGCCAGCAGGATGATGATAAATAGCGCTATCGGACACAGTTTGGTGGACAAGTGGAAACCGCTAAGCATCATTCGTATACGCTGGCGAAGTGTTGTTGATGCTGTGGCTGCTGCAGCTAAAGATGCTCTTGTTGCAGATGAATTTTTTACTGGCACTGCCCTACTGTGCCGATTTCGCACGCAGTGTTTGTGGTTGTGAGCAGTTGTCTGGTGACTATTTTTGCTGCTGTTGCTGTTGCTGTTGATTTTACTTGTGGAGCTGCTGTGGCTGATGCTATAGGCCATCTTGGTATCGTCTTGTGGGTTTTCCAACCAATTTGGCGTTATGATTGATCGACGGTATGTCTTTTTCGTTGTTGCTGTAGATTCTACTTTTGCTGCGGTGGTTCTCACCATAGCTGCTGATGCTATTAATCCTTCTTGATGGTTATGATTTAGCTTTATTTCTGATGTTCTTGCTGTGGCTGTTTCCACTTTTAAAGATGTTTGTGGTTTTGCTGCATTTATGGAATTTAGTTGAGCTGTTATTACTCTTATTGACTTTTTAACAATTTATACTTCGCTGTGGAATTCTTGCACTCACTTTTTTAGTAATTAAAACAGTTCGCAATGGAAGTCTGGTTTATTGGTAACACTTATCTACTTTCTACTGCTTTTGAGTGTTTTTCTTAGTCCGTTTAAATTTTATATACATGCATCCGGTTTTAATCGTTTTTACAATCTATTAAAGAAGGGCTGAATTAATATTGTAGCCAAATATAGGTTTCACCAAATGCAAATTCGAATCTGCAGGTACTGCGGGAAGTATTTTTATACTGTCAACGCTGAGGAGAGTAATAACAGCCTACAGTTATATCCTGGCTCCAGAAGTGGATAAATAAAATTATGGTTATTTGGTATAACAGTATGGTTCCAGGGCCTGTATTGGAAATAGTCTCGGATATTTTTTATATCATGGCTCAGTCCGTCTTATGAGATATTAATACCACTACAAAAATCCCCCCAGCTTCAAGCTGGAACATCGTACGAAGATGAACGCATGGTCAGAGGGTGCCTCGTCGTTAATAAATAGCGCGAAATTTGTATACCGTTCAACCTTCAGCGTCAAATAGACGTACCGTGCGATCGGATGAGCTCGGTGATGCCTCAAAAATCATTACTGCTGGACAGTCAATGAAGCCAGTGGGTTGCCGCCAACATCCTATGACGGCCCATTGGTCACATTAAAAGTTAGGTAGCCTAAAAGATATGGTCAGTGGACCGGAACCCCTCTATATTATACCCAAAAGATACCCACATACTCCCGACCTACGTCAGTGACTTCGACTACATGGATGGATACGGCATCATTTTCAGACTCAGAGGGGGAGATACCACGGTGATCACAAAATTTGAACTGAAAGTGGTGAGCTGGTCTAGATTGTATTATTCATTAATTATGCTTCGATCAAATCGGTAGCGCAGAAGGGCAGAGCCGCATATATGTAGATTTGACCATCTGAAGCTTCAGTTGAGAGATCCAACTGGAACTAATACCCACCACCAAAAATTAGTTATGTAACTATTTCTGAACTGATATGATTTCTTGCGGGGCATACGTGGATATGCGCACATACATACACAAGCTTTTAAAGAAGAGAACAAAAAAAACAAAGTTCGTTGCTTAAGTCTTTCGTTTAGAGTAGCAAAAATGATCACTTTATACTATGTACTACATATGCACATACATTGTATAAGCAGTTATTAGGTTATGTTCTAAAACGCTTTCCAACTCTTAAGTAGCATACAAATGAGTTCAATAATTCAAGTATTGTCAAACGTAAATGCCCGCTGCGTTCCATAAACACTTATAGAATTTCCAGATCTTTTCAAATAATTCTTAGCACTCTATTCTTCAAAAAAAATCTTCTGGTGATCACCACACAATACTTTTATGCATTTTACTTCACATACTATAATACAATAAAGCTTTTCTTCACGAAACAATCACAAATATCACGCATTCACTTTGACATCAGCACAAAGACCGCTCGGCGATTGTGGGTGACTGTGTCAAAACATTGCCACATTTCAAACAATTTCATTCACCGCGCGCTCGTTAAAGCGTGCTATTACAGTTTGGCACAGCAAACACAAAAAAAAAAAACAAAAACAACTACAATAGCCCGTTTGAATGCCAACACTTTGCTTACTGGCTATTCAAAAGGCAATCAATTGCCGCTTTCGAGTACTTTTGAAAAGCTATTTGGTGTTTCATGCTTTCTTTTAATGTTTGCACTTTTACAAATGCGACGATTTGCACACACACATTTGTTACTGTCAACTAGCACATTCTTTGACTTAAACTGTTACACTACAATGTGTGGTTTATTGTGGTTGCTATGAAGTGCATCTGCTGATAGGCTTACTATAATTAAAATAGAAATAATAATTTTCATTCACTTGCTATCGAAGTTCTCTCACTGGTTTTGGTTGTTAATTAAATTATGCTTGTATGTGTGTACGTGATTTTTTTCTTTCTTGTATTCCGTATGCTTCACACATTTTTGTCACCTTTCTGTCGTCTTTGACTTTCACAATTTAACAATTTTCGTTTTAAATATTGGCTTAGCGGCACGCAAGTGGCCAACAACTCGTTGTTATTGTAAAACGTTCAAAATTTCTATTTGTAAAGTCTATGCAGCTTGGAAGCGTTGGCGTGTGCATGCGCATACGTTGTCATCCGGCAACTGAAGACGTACAGATCATGACGCGCATATTTCTGCTAGTTAGTTTACGCTAGGTGGCCTAAAATGAACATCAGTTATGCTAGCAATCGCAAAGCCTTTGCCGTAAACTTGACTGAAGCGGTCGGTTTTAAGTCGACTGTTTGGAGTAAACGAATTTGTGCTGCATCGTGGAAACCAGTTGTGGTTTTTGTAGCTTTTGTGCGTGATCACTACCAGCGCATTAACGCCAATGAAGCTGTGATAAGCAATGTGTTCGTTTGTTGTTGTTAAAATATGTACTCTTAGCTATGTGAGTTGCAGTTCAAGTTTGATTCATCAACTTGCAGTCGCCTCTCTTTTTCAATGTTTTCTTCGTTAAACTAACTCTTACTATTGCTCTTGCTTGCCTTTTCGCTAGATTGCTCTCGCGCTCTTGCTGCCAGCCAGCCTAACCGACTTCGTTAAGTCCGACTTGAATGTTGCACGCTTAACGAAAATGGCATATTGTTTATAATTTTTTTTTTTGTTAACCAAGTTCTTGCTGCCAATTACGTAGCTTTGGCGTCTGTGTATTCACCTTGTGGCAACAGCTGTTTCTGCACACGGTTAGCCTATTGAGCATTTGTTAGCATTTGTTTGTTTTGTCCGCAATCTGCTTCTCAGGAATTTTGCTTATTTCATGTATGCAAGCTTCGTTAACAGGCTCCGCTGACTCCACCGCTATCGCGGCTGTCGCCACCAGCGCATTCGCACTCAACTTACCGGTAGTTTTGAAGCTTGATCCATTCGCATGGCTGCTTCTCTGTTATTGTCATAGCCTAACGGCTTAAAACATTTATGCACATATGTATGTATAGGTATAAATTATATTAACAATCACGTATGTGTGTTATAGCTGATCCATTAGCTGTTGTCTGTGGCAATGCTGATCTTGTTTGAGCTGTTTGATTTTATTGTGCAACCAATATTATTAGAAAAAATGTAGCCGCCTGCGGTCATTGGGTGATTGTGCAGTTTGATTTTAATATAGTTCGTCTCATTTGCCACTAAGTTGTCTGTAAGAGGTGAGAAGAAAAAAATCAATAAATTGGTGGCATATAAAAAGAATGTTTGAAATACATATATTCTATTTAATTAATAGCTAGCGATTGTCCGGCGTGCTTCACTGCGCCTTAAAAGTATTTTTATGTTTTTTGAGGCCCCGTATTGTTACCTATATTTCATTTCTTTTATCAATTTAATTAAATCAATTCTTCAAACAGGTGACGACCCTCCTCAAAAATATTTTCGGCAGTAAACTTTCCTAAACTTCTTCAATTTGATACCCATATTGCATTATTAAATTTATCTTATCAATTGAATTCAATTAAAATTTTCAAACATGTGGCAACCTCCACAAAAATATTTTCGACTGTAAGCCTTCTTTTGAAAGCCATGTTGCAATATTTTCTTAATCTTATCAATTTATGTTGCCACCTGTTTAAAATGTATTTTTCTTAAAAGTAAATAAATAAACATTAGTAAGAACCAATATCACAACAATTTGGTTTTATATTAAAAAGGGCGAAGTTTAGTAACCAAATTTGCTAACTTTTAAGCTTAGTTTCCAGTTCAAGAAAAATTACAAGAAATATGTTTCGTTATTTCTTTTGATTGAAAAAATACTTTGCCATTGCTGTAAATTCTCTTGAAGGTATATTTGCATACATACATATCTATATATTTCTAGAGAGCTAAAAATGGGCCAAAAAAATAAATAAAAACAAGTAAGAGCAGCGCTGGCTATGCCAAAGGCTTCATACCTTTCATGAACATCTGCAAATTTTACTTTGACAGATTACTGCTTTTGAATACATCTGCATACATCGATAGAGGAGTTACATACTTATATAAAAAATCGCATCTAAAAAATCAGAGGTATGGAAAATATACTTTATATGACACCAATCTAAGTGATTTTCACCGCTATGTGA